TGAGGCAGCAAACAGAGCACAAGTGACGTAATGAAAATCCGTCTGCTCGGCAATTCACCAACTAATGAACTAATGATGCTTAAATATAGTTCATCAAATCCGCCTGATGACTTTCAGGAAGCGAAAAACCCAAAATCAATCAAAGAAAAATATCCAATTAGCTTTGGTGTGAGTGTGTGCGTGTGGTGGTCATTTTCATATGGCATAGCTGTTCGTCGGTCGGAAAAACGTTTTTTCCCCTCATTTTAAACACACCAAATACAATAGAGAGACCATACTCCATTTTTCACACAATTTCCATAATTTATGCACTTTGGCATTAATTACATTCCCACGAACACACAACTCGACTGGTTCCATCTCGAAATCAAGGCAAATATTCTTCATTAAATCATTTTTACTGGGTGTTTTCGTTGTTGCTGCCGTTATTGTTATTGCTTGCGACGTAAAGATGCATCGGTCATGAGTCAGCAAATAAAATTTTAACGGTATTCAGTGAATGCAATCGACACGTCACGCGCTGACGTGTCCACTTTCGCATAATCGAAACCGATTTCGAAGCTAAACATCGATTGATCGACTGCGTAATTAAATTTAATTAATTCATATTAAAAACAATATTTGAAAAGAATTTGATTCACGGTTTTTGATTGAATTAACCTTCTGGAACCAATCTGGAATTGAATTGATCAAGAGGATGTTTAGTCTGTTGCTAATATTGCCATAATCATTTTACATAAATATTTTGATAGATGTTCGAGAGTTAAATAAAATATTCCATTCGAATTCAAGCGGATAAATGCCTGGGAATTTTTCGTTTTCTTCATTTTGTCGATTTTTTAAGCACTGCCTCTGACCATTCGAAGCCGAGTGAATGTCAAATTACAATGTGATTTCATTCAGTTGCATTTTTTTATTGTGCGAAATTGGATCCGCCAATGAAACGCAACACTGCCGCTTCTTTGGCGCGTTGTAGATGTGTGTGAATAAATTTTGATTCGGTGCCAATTTGGGAGGGTCTACTCAGTGAACGATCCAATCCCGCTTAATAATCACAACCGGTCGAACTAAAATAAAGGTATTTAAATTTAAATGTCAAGCGGTTAACGGTTTCCTTGTTTCGTTTGATTGACTTTTGCCCATAAAAGAAATATGACAGATCTGTCAAGAAGTTTTCTTTTACATGACACAAAACGACAAAATAGAATCTATAATATTCTTTCAACTTGCACATTCATTGGCATTGACTGAATAATGGGATAATTGCTGGAAGTGCGCTTGACAGTTTAAAAAGCCCACGTACGTCGATCGTACACACGATATTCATCATTTTTTTTTTTCCATCTCGCATAAGTATAAACATTACGATCACTGACTTTAACGTTTGCAACGATCATATTTCAGTGTGACTGCACTTGGTGCTCGAGAAATGTATCGAAACCAGATGAAAACGTTAAGCACACAGTTATTAGCCACGAGATTTTAGCTAACGAATCGCCTGATAATTTTTACATAATATTGAGGATTTGAACAGCAGTGACATCATTCGACGAATTTTCTCCTTCGACACGAAATCAATGAACCAATTCCGCTGATTAAATAGCGAACGGCACTTTCGCCCATCATAAAAACGGTAACTTAATCCGTTGCGATAATTTATTGTATCAATAACATTGTTTAACACCGTTTTTCAACAAAGAAACCCGAACAATGGATGGCCATTAATCTCAAAGGAGAGTTTCTTCCTTATCCGCAGCGGCGAGTGTGTCAAATGGCTAAAAATAAAATTTGCACCTCGTTTCATTTTTTCTTTTCATCTTTCTTTCCTCTTCATCACATCGCGCTTTGTGTGAAATGATGAAATTCCAAAGGCCCAACGAATTAATAAGGTGTACATCTGTAAACGCCCACACACATTTTGTGGTCAAATTGACGAATGGTATCGGAATTTGGTTCCATTTTATAAGATGCGTACCTTTACGATGCTGTGAATTTCGTTCACTCTTCAGCACGTTTCATTTTTGGTTTCGAATTCGATGCATTTAAATCATCCCATTGAAAGCCGTAAGACGACAGAAAATGTGTATCAGAAAGTCAGAGAGACAATTTTTGCCGAAATTAATGGCAATTTATTTTAATGTGCACGTGAAATAATCCTCCTTTATCGAATTTTCGTTAAGTGCCGCAACTGTTGGCAATAAAAAAAGCTACGGATTTGGATTTCGAACTAAAAACTGAATATTGATTCTTCATCGAAGCGGCTGAAGTATTGTGTATGAGTAAAAAAAAAAACTTATACGAGGCGGCCCATAAATTCAATTCTTACACTTAACATTTTCGGAACTTGCTAAAAAAGAAATTATTTAACTGAAATAATGCAGCGACAAATTGTTTCCCAAAGCGAAACAGCAAAAAAAAAGACAAAAACGAAAACAATCACGTTAACATTTTTCTTAATAGCATTGAAGTGATTCGGGCAAGGTCGTTGAATTTGGGCAAATTGCTCCGCTTCCATATTTGGTCGGTACGACACAGACATACGGAAAATTAACCGCAAATCATCATTGCCGTCGTGGTCGTCAGACGTCAGCAGTGTAAACTCTTTTTTTTCGCAGAAGAGTTGGAAATCTGAAATTATTCATACGCAATCGCGGGTGATTACGGAACTATAAACAAAAATTACGGTACTTTTTTAAGCAATGGCAACTAAAGAGAAACAGAAAAAATGAACGGGAATCCCCAGAATTGAACTGTGTTTATTATTTATTCATCCCAATGTATGTATTGTATTCGATCCCTTTTCCAACCTCACTGAAATTGGTTCAATCATTGAACGGAACGAATAATGTATTCATGTATGTTATGTTTTTGAAGTACCAGTCATTGAAAAAACGACAATTGTCGGCATTTCTGTATTAATAACCGAGAAAATTGCCATTAAGATATTTCTGATAAATTCTTATGTTTGGAATTGATAAAAATTTACTTCGAATTTAATCGCGAATTTATGATTTACTCATGAGAAATGTTTGATTGTCGCATGCCAACATGTTGAATATATGAGTGCGATTTAACTCACGCCATTGGATGCTTTGCGTAAGACGCAAACTATGACCGATGAGGAAAAATATGTGCCGTGGCAGCGAGTGTTCGTAATAGCAGAAGCACGTGTGCTCAAACCAATGGCCGCCGTTGTGTTGGTATGGAAAAAATGAAATGATGAAAACTTGTCATGACGGTGTAATTGGATAGGTAATTTCGATCGGTCGATTTGATTATTGAACATTTTAATGAGGTGTATTTTTTTAATGATGAACTATCGACTTGCATAGTGCGGCATACTTTGCCATTCGTTTTGTTTTCTTTTCTTTTTTTTTCTCGAAAGATTTATTAAGAGAATAGTGATACTATGTGCTCTGCTCGCTACCGATCACCCGATTGCAATCGTTCGGCCCGAAAACTCTCTCGTGCGATCGTTTACTTGCAGCCAATCTTTCAAGTTTATTGACTTGCATTGATTTTTCTGTTCGTCTTTTGTGCCCATTAACTTCTTGCATTTCAATTACACACAAATATGACGGATCGCCTTATGATTTTCGAAATAAATTATACGTTTGCTAATTAGTTGCACTAATCAATAGAAATGCTAGAGTTATACATTCACACACTGTTTGCAATGAACACCGGTAAACATAAAACTGTCCACCACGTTGTTTGTTGCAACCCGCACGAGAAAACCGACCACGATGACGACGATGCTGATGACGACAACGGCATGCAGAAGGAAATATTAAATTGACACCGTTATTAATATAACGTCGCCGTTGTATCGCGCTCGAATAAGTCATACGGCCGATGTGTAACTGTGCTTTTTAAACTTTCTCGATCGCCATAATTGTCGATGCATCTAGTATTGATTTGTCATTAAATTTATCGAGTTTCGATTTCGATGATTAAGACATTTCAATCAAATACACACGACTTCAGCATACCATCTTGAGCTTGTAGCGTGTGATGATTTTTGCGTGTGAATGCAACACTTGAGAGCGCCATTCATTCATGAAATCAGACAAAGCGGAAAAAGGAGGAGCCATGCGAGCGCACAGGACATGAATGAAGAAAAAAAGAATGCCATGATTTTCAGAAATCACTTGAAAAAGGCCGAATTTCTATTGGTTAATGTGAAGAGAGCGTTGCGGGAGCTGGCACAAGGAAAAACCATCAACTGAACATACAAAAAAAAAAACCTGAAAAAGAAACGACTGGAGGCCAACAACAAAATCAATAGATCAACTCATACAGATTTAACACAATAAGGTTTTTTTTTTCTCATTGCCGAAATTCTCGAGTGCGCTTTGATCCAATATTCGCCGGCCGGTTAAAACCCGTCATAAGAATATTCAGTTTATCTTTATGAAGATATTCAAAGAAAAAAAATGTTTGATTTCTAAATTATGACTCGTATTCATATCTTCTTCTCTGCACAAGTGATGACTAAATTCACCGATTCTCCATAAAAGGAAATGCAGTACACGTCAGTTCTCTCACATCCATTACATCAACAAGCGCAAAACGAACGAGCGAACGAAAGATCAATCGAATGTTTCAAGTATAAACAATTTGGCGGGACTTTTTTCCCCCATTATTATATGTGTACAGAAATTGATTGACGACAATGTTGAATGTAAATAAACTGTAACAAATCATAACAATGTAGCGAAAATTTGAACGCTGCACTTTTCAATGCTGCATAAATCGATGATAAAATTGGCAATGTCAATCACAACATACACACACACATACACGATGACCAGCCGATGTGATCGGTTTCGTTTGTGCGTTAAGGAGAAAAGGAGAATGAGTGTGTGTAAAAGGGGGCGAAACACAAACGAAAGAACAAACATCACACAAAAGGCGATAGCTAACAGTTTAGAACACAACGTATATAAGCATTTGGACAGCATTATCAACGCATAGTTCATTGCGAAAACTCTCAATGAATGGATCTCATTGATTGAACAGGAGCTCACCTCACACCTTCAGGAAAAGAGTAAAAGTGTTCAAGTTTAAGTGTTTTTATTTCTTCGTAAGAAGTACTCATACGCCACGATAAGTGTGAAGATTTCCGTTTAATTTTACTAGGAAACAAATGGTCAAAATTATGAAGTGTAAGTGGATTTAATCAATTTTCCCCTAATATTAGCAATTTTATCAATGTGCTATTCAACGTTTAATCAATCGGTTTTTCAATCATCTTTTCCGTCGAAGCTATTTATTTAAGATACCTTTTTTTTGTGTCACCGATGCTAATCTGTGTGATAGCTCAGTTTAAACTGAGGATGTAATAAAGAAGTGTCGGAAAGAATGGGAAAAACATCAATTAAACGTACGATAAGAGATGTGGTCGTGTGCATGAAAACCACATGAGTCTATTAAATTAGTGTTAATAATATGTTTAAAGTAGCGTACGATCGTTTCGCTTCGCATTGATTTCCTTGTTTTCTCCAGCCAATCTCTCTTCTGAAGTATCATTGACTGAATTTCGAGTTCGCGCTCGCCTTTGCCAGCGCATAATTCCATGTGCATGTGTGTGTGTGTGTGTGTGTATGTTTTGTCTGCACAGCAAGTGAACTCACACGCACCCTGCGATTTCTATATCATTAATATCCCGATGTAGCTGGCTAAATCGAATCTGGCCGCAGCGCAGCAAAACAAAAACGGCATAAAGAAATAGTGTTTGAGCATAAAATGTGAACAAACAACACAACGATCGACCGCAAGGCGCATAATTGATGGTGAAAAACCAATTGGAAAATGATCATACGATGCGAGATGTGTATAAATATGCCGATAATCACCTGTTTGATAATATATGCCAATTAATATTGATCACTGGATCATAATCACAATTGCTCGTGCTCGCGCTTCGATTTCGTTGCCATAGCTTTATTTTTGCTACAAAAATTTAAATTGATTTATTGGCTCAATTAGTTTTGCGTATATGTCTCCTCTCTGCTGTGCACTGGCACATACGATGGACGACGATGGAGTTGCTGTTTTTTGCATTTTTTTTTTTCTCTCTCTTATTTTTCGTCTTTACATGCTTGCACGCATATTCGAAACGGTGAAATTTTTACGCTCGTTTTCTTCTCCGTCAGAAACTCAGAAATGAAAATGTTCTTTGATTCGATGGCAACATAATTTATCGAAAATACGGTCGATTTGAGTACACACACACACACACACACATACGAGACACAGTTTCTGTAAAATATCTTTACAAATTGGCCCAATCAATTGACGAATGCAAGAGTCGTACGCGCACGCACACACAAACCCCGTAAATAATGATCTAATAAATTTTGCAAAGTGTAAAACCACAATAAAGCATTAAATTACCGGATTAACTCTATAAACAAATGCGAGATTCATTCACGAAAAGCCGTGTGCGTTTTTTTTTTTTTTGAAACAGGCATTTGTTGAGCACGTGTTTGAAAACATCGAATTCTTCGCAATGATTTAAAGCCGGTTAGCAAACGCCGCTTTATTTTCGTCTGATATTTTGAATTGTTTCTCATTCGTCACGCATTTCGATTATTACATAATATTGAGTTAATAATTTGTGCCGGCAACAAAAATAAAATGCACACGCAGTCAGTGATCGAAAACATAACAATGTAGCGGTGCGATTGGCGTCAGGCCAATTAATCAACCGTTAAACGGAAATTCTAGTGAATATTAGTCACACACACACACAAACATACCAAATTGAATTGCCTTTATATGGGTTTTGGGATTTTCGCATTCTGTAATATCGTGATTGTTTTTCGAGTCGTTAATTTTTAAGTTATACATTAAAATTGATGCGGTCATATTAACAATACATGGCTTAATCATACTTCGTGTTTTGTTCGCAGTGAAAAGTCGTTCGGTGTTTGGTCGCGTGTCATACTCGGCTCATGTAATTGATATCTCGCTCTTTTTTTATCGTCAATTTGTCATTTTGCCTTGCCTGGCGCTGCTTATTTTTTTTTTTGCTTCAATATTCTCTCGTTGCAAAACGGTGTGTGTCACGATAACGAATTCGTATTTGCGTTCACTCAATGTTTGTACATCGCATCGTCATAATTCAGCTATTTAGGAGGTATGACGAGCGCACAACAGTATTCCAGCTATTCAAATATAAGGTGAATCAATTCGATTGTTTTGCACCACTTGAAGCACATTATCAATCTGATAACTGGAGGATTAAAACTTGTGATGTGTTCACTCTGACTGTATGACAAATCCAAACAATAACAAAGCGATGTGTTTTATTTTGCGGAATGTGATAATCGATTTGTTTAGATCTTTGTTACTCATCAAACATGCTGTAGGTCAACGATTGAACTATTTAAGCATCAACAATTGTAATTCGAAACGAATCGACGAAAGCGAATGTGGTGTGCGTGGAGCATGCGAAACGTTGGTTGTCGGTCGGTCGTATGCGAAGCATGTTTGTGTGTGACTTTCGGTTCGAGCACACGCGTTCCCCCTCTCTCTCTCTCTCTCTGTCTACGCGCAACATATTCATTCATGAAAATCGACTACGCGTCATTGTTCATTGACAAGATGTGAGCATGTCTGCTCATGTATTTGGCCCATAAGAGTGCCAAAGTCGTGGCATCGTCATCGTTTTGCTGCCGCGACGGTGCCGTTGGCGTAGATGACTAATTCTTCAATTTAGACTATTCGCTTTGACTCTAGCCCGCGCTTCGAAAACAGACAGACGAGAGAGAAAAAAAAAACGGCACTTCCACTATTGATTACACATGGTGCGTTAGCTTCGTTTTTGTGTATAGCGTTTCGGCAGTGCTGGATATCGTGTAAACGGCATTCGTCATACATATTTTGCCGAAATTCAAATCGGATTCTTGGAATATTGTGTGATATTGCTCCCCCCGCCTCTCTGATGGAATGTAACATAATAGACCGTCAAAATGCTTCAATAGTTTTTTTTTGTTCAGAGTATGACTAATGCACTGTACCAGCGGACCAGTGGTACTTTCTGTGGGTTAGATGCGATTTCATCGATCGCATTTGTTATTTAAATTTCTTCTTTTCAAAAACACAAAACCGTTCATAATTTTATTAAATTAGCGACTGTGTTTTTTTTTTATAATTCAAAACTGGCTCGATTGAACCGGCATCAGGTGCATATGAATTTCGCAAATTTGTGAAATAACCGTTCTTTAGTTTAAAAATAGACAATGGATATCATCAACGTGGCCAATGACTAAGATATCAAGCGTATAAAGCAAAAACTAAACGTAAGTCATTGTTCGATAAACCATCGACCATCGACCATAGAAAGTATAGAGAAAGAGTGAAGTGTTTGTATCATTCAAATAAACGTAAATTAGCATGAGACCCAATTAAATTTGCTACTTTTGGTGACCAACAAGTTGAGTGGTTGGTTCGTGTTGTGTTTGTCGTGTTTATTGGCCGTAAAGGTGATTATCGGATTAAAAGTCGGTTCTTTATTGATTGTTGCACATTTCGAATATGATGAACAGTCAAAAACAACAGACCCAACAAAAGACGTTCACGCGTTACGCGACTGATGAGCACGACGAACGAGCGAGCGAGCGAAAGAGATAAATGTGTGATAAAACATTAAATTGAATATAGAGACATAGAAGACCGCCCGTTGATCGAAAAATGAATATGCATGCCACTCTCGATAGTGATGAATCCACCGTGTGTTTCGAGTTGTGTCATTTTATTTTTCGTTCGCTTGCTATCTCCCTCTCGGACACAGCATTCAGTCGGGTGGGTGAATTGGTGTCCGTGTGCATTTTACAACTTGTAAAGTGCGAAACTAACTGATTCACACAGTCGCGCACAGCCACACAGCAGCATAAGAAAAGTACGCACGAAATTACAAATGCGAAAGAGAAAAAGTAAACCGAACCGTGTGCAACAACGACTATGACTCAAACGTTCTCTTCGATTGCATTGCATTGGAGAGCTCAACTGCTATGTGCAATTGCTCTTTGGTCTCTCTGTACAATTTTGCATGTGATCAGTAGTGCTGTCCCACTCTCTTCTCTTTTCTTTCTTTCTTTTCTTCTCTTGTCCGTGTGATTCTTTCATTCACCCCAAAAGAACGTTCCGCAGCATTTCTCTCTCTCTTCTGTTCCTTTTTACGTGTTTTGTTCGCTCTCTCACAATTCTTTTCTCACACACTAAAAACTGGCGATCCATCGTTCGCTCTGTATACTCGATCGCATTTGTACAAATCTCAGCAAGGGCAAAACAAACCGAACCGAGTGAGTGTGTGAGAGAGAGAGAGAGAGAGGGAGCGCGCAAAGCAAAAGCAAGCAAACACACATGCATATAAATACACACAAACGCATTGCGCATACAACAAATCGGACAGCAGCGAGCCAACAACAAATCACAGCGTTCGAAAAAAAAAACTAACAACAACAATAACGACGACAACGACGACAACGAAGAAGAGAAGACACAGACACCTTGCTGCCTCTACTGCAGAATCTTTTTTAGTTTATGGGCTTTTGAACGAAATAACAAATTCAGTCTCAGTTTGGTTCCGAGCATTGTCACGTTAACACGTCTCAATCAGCGCACACACGATTGTCGCTCTCTCACTCGACTACATACATTTTTTTTTTCTTCATTTCCCACATCGGTGTGCTCTCCAACACGATTCGAAATTCGTATCATTGCATATTCTCATCGAAACCATCATTCCGAACGGTTGTGTGTTGTTCGATATACGCGATTGAATAAAAAAAAAGAAAAGAATTTATTCCTCGGTTTTCGTCCTAATTTATTTTTTCAATCAACAATTGTGCAAAGTTACTTACTATTTCGTGCCCGACGACATAAACACTAATTTTATGCTATTGTGAAATTGTTCAATTTTAACGACGACAACGATCAACGTTGAGATTTTTTTTTTTTTCTTAATATTGATTTGTCAATTTGTGCGATATTTTTCTGTTGTTGTGAAAAGTCCAAGAAATGAAAATTGAAAATAAATTTTGTGAGAAAAAAATAATAACGACTACGACGACAAGAAACGAACAAAGTTTCTAGAGAGAAAAAAAATTAGTTGAAAAACAGTGAACTGTCCGGAAAAAAAAGAGTTTAGAAAATTTTTCTCGTTGCCGGTGGATCAGTTAAGTTTTCCATCATTGATCACATTGGGAAATTGTTTTGTGTGCCAGTGAAGCTAAGAAGATGCGGTGTGTGTATTTTTTGCGATTTTTTTTCCTTCTCTTATTACATAGTTTTTAAGTAGATATATTTTTTTTTACTAAATTAGTGCTAATAAATCTCGTAAATACATGTACAAAATTGATCGAACACTTTAGACCGTCGGCAAAAAAAAAGAACCGGCAAACAAAACTAATCAGCATTGATTCGCTAACTTCACCTGATAAAATGCCGTTTTTATAGATTAAATGATTCATTTCGGCCTACAATTTGCTATTTGACTTCTGTTGATCGTTTTTTTTTTTTTTCTGTTTCTTTGTTTCACATTTTATTTCTTGTCCATACACAGATCCCAGTTTGTATGGTGTTTTTTTTTTCTTTCTTTCGCTTTCATATTTGCCCATTTCAATTCGCACACTCACAAATTCGAGAGTTGAATGTAACCGCAGCCAATATACAAGCGAGATTCTGTGACGAATTTCAAGTCATTAATAAATGAATCATCATCAGTTGACGACAGTTTTTTTTCCTGCGTACTGTGTAGTACACGCACAGGCACACGCTTAACAAGTATTGTTCTTGTTATTTAGCAAATGTCCACTTGCGGCAATTATCTTGATAGTAAAACACTTCCGATTCTAAATAATTTTGAGTTTTTCCAATGAAAATTTTATCAAAAATTTACACGTTTTCAATCATTATTACATCATTTATGAACAATAGCTCATGATCTACAAATATAAGCGTTTGTTTATTGCAAATGTTTATTGTTTCTATCCAATGTTTTGACGAACTGGCGCCCAAGTGTCATTTGCCCATTAACTTCCAAAAAGAATCGAAACAGTTCCATCTGTTTATTTCTCATCGTTTGAATTATTGTTTGTCTTTTCAAACTACCCATTTTCGCTGACCAACCGATGTGGCAACCGTATGATTTTGTTTGATTCGGTCGCCGTTGATGCGTGAGAATGTTTTGAAAAAAAAAAAACGTCCGAACATCACCCGAAATTCAACGCCAATCGAAATGTGATACAAAAACACAGTGCAACTCTGTTGGCGATGGGGGCGATAAAGCGAGAACACACACAGAAAAAAAAAGAAAACTAAGAACGAAATCAAAACACGCAACGATATCAAACGTTTATTTTATCAGCACGGCTTGAGATCGTGTATTCTTTGCTATTGTTATTCCAGACACAGAACCATATGATTTGTTTATGGGTTTGTATCGCTTACATTTCAGAATTGGTTATATTGTTTCATTGAGAAGCGCCGGGTTTTTGTGTGTGCATACACACCAGCCAGCCACACGGAGGCATAATCAGCTGCGTGTGTGTATTTAAGGCGCTTGTGCGACGGTGGCCACACAGTGTATGCATGCACTATATATATTTATATCTATGAGTTCATATTGAATGCTCAATAGATAGAATGCTCTTCACGGATATACACTTGAATCGTACGTACGGTTGCGCTCATTTGTTCTAGTTTCATTCATGAAAATACGAAGCGTTTTTGTGTCTTCGTGAAATGTTTTTTTCTCCTTGTTTTTGTTGTTGTACTTGTTATCACGCTGATGTTTACACAACAAAGCATCCAACCTGCAAAGGCAGCGTTATTTCCACGCTAAATCCGTTTTGTACTTCAATTTTTTTTCTCTACAATTACACTCGAAAAAAAAAAAACGCAAACCTTAGCGTCTTGGGTCGTTGAAGAAAGTCTGTTAATTGCACGTAAATGCAGGAATGATCTTGCGCTCGTATACCTACACGTTGCGTGCGAACAGATATGCATTCTTCTTAAAGAGTATAGTAGCAAATATCTGTTGTTGTTGCTGTTTTTTTCGTTGCCGTGCTGTGTGTTCGATTTTCTGCTTATATTTGATATAGAATGTATTGAACGTTTGCGTAACGCCGTATACGAGCTCACAAAACCGATATAATTACAAGATCGTTGTATTTTTTTATCTGAATGCATGCAACTGTTTGCCGTATAACCGCATCGCTGAATCAAATAAAAATGTGCAACAGAATGACGATGACTAATTGATATTTGAAAAAGAAACACACACACACACAGCCTAAGATGTTCATTTCGCTTTTGTTTTCATTTTTGCACAATCATGCTACGATGATATTTTATTTGTACAACGAACAATTGTGAAAATTTACATATCAAACTGAATTCGATTCTAATGTTTTGTATTCCCACTTGGTAATTAAGGGGTTTCTTTTTTGTTTGAATTGTAGCCGAAAATTCGTTTTCGAAACGGAATCGGGGATTTCTTTTCTCCGTCCGTATGATTTTGGACACACAGACACAACAAAAAAAAAATTAATATACTTGAGAAGTATTTCGAATTCGGTTGTTCAGTTGTTGTGATTTTAATGCGTGCACGTGATCGTCATAAACAATGCAAATTACTTGTCAATACTCACTGAACTTCGCTTCTATTTACCGCTACAATGATAATTTAAACGAACAAAATACCCGAATAGCACTCTCGCGCGCGCACGATTTTTTCGGTTTTTTTCTCTCTCATGCTATCAAAAATGGGAAATCCATTGCGATGAAAAACCCCTGAAATTACGCCAATTCTGCTATTGCGGCTGCTGCTGCGTTTGTTGTGTCCGATATATACATGAAAATATTTGAGTTTTTATTTAAAGATTGTTTGGAATATCAAAATTCAATTATACTAACTAAATTCGTTTTCCATTTTTTTTCAGATTTAACAACGCTTGTCGTTGCACTTTGCATTCTACTTAGCTTTGCAGACGGTGCACCATCAATGGCACGTCAAAGGCACAGGCGCCACTACTGGCCGGCCAACGATCAATTCCATCCAAATAAAATCATTTGGAACAACTCGTGCGGTGGTACGGTGCCAAAAAATGACACCTTCAGCGATCACAGAAATCGAACGGTAAGTGAATAGCCCAATTATTTTACTAATAATAGCACGCAGATTGTTCAATGCTATCGATTTCCTGATTCGATACAAATCAATTTAAATTCAACGTTTATTTTTTTCAATTTGCAATTTTTGGATTTGTTCACAGGCAAAACCGCTGAAAGGATTACGAAATGAGCTGCCAAATTATTTGGTGCGTTTGAATGATCAACGCGCACAAGCCATCGATACAGATGATGTGTCACAATGGTTCTCAGAGCCATTCAACGCCACATACAAGTTCCTCGCGCAAATCAATGCATCAACATCCAATGTAAGTAGTCTAATTCTATCAATTATTCCAAGTGAAAATTATCTGGTGCATAGCAAATTTAAATGCCACTGAAGAAGATATCACGAGATCACATGTATTAAAAAAAAAACATAGAAAATTTGCATTGATTTTTTTCTTGTTGCTTCTGCTGTTGCTGTTGTTGAATTCGGTTCAGTTTATGTGCCTTCGGTAATTTAAGTACGATAGTTGGCCAATGACATTGATCATATTTTCCTCCATAAAATTATGGCCAAAGTGAAGCGATATATTCTGCTGGCAATCAGTCTGTCTTCTTTAACATTTCCATTGCATAATCTCTCACTCGATCGTTGTACCGATTAGAACCTTAAAGTATGATATCTGTATGGAAGCCGGTTAAATTTATTAGATAGATTGATATTCGTGCCTTCGGTTGTTGTTCATAACGATCGAAGCGAACGAAAATGATTATCGAATCAAGAGATGCTTTACGTTTGTTGTGCGCTTTATTGTGAACGTAATTAGTTCACTTCGGTCAGTGAACAAAAAAAAAACAACATTCACATAAATTTCTATGGCTCTTCGATCGTTGCGATCGTACATATATAAATCATGGTTAATCTCTGAACTGCATTTGTCTGCGCAAAATTGTTCTGATTATTAGCGAATGCGATTAAGTCAGGATTATTCGTTGAACAGCAACAAAAGAAGATGGAAAAAAACACACACACACAAAGCAGAAGCGAGAAACAGCATAACAAGCGGCTTGTGGTGATTACAACTTAACCCGATTAAGAATCAGCACATGCGATCGAAAAGTCCGGCTGGCAGACCGACGGGTGAAATAAATGCGAATGATGTGTCAAGTGAATTGGTATCGCGTTGGTGGTGGGCATTGTGTGACAATCTCTGAATGGTCATTTCGAGTGTTGTCGGTAAATCTACACGATTGTTACAGTCCCGTTTTTAGTTTCTGGTGTATCTTTCTTTTTATTCATTTGATCTGTGCGCTTCGGCGAGAGTAACGCAAAATACACTCACACACACACACACACTCACTCACACCTCGGCCTCGGTGCCTCGTTCGCAACGGGACGAATAGAAAAGAAATCCGACATAAGAAAAGAAAAGAAAAAAAATTAATAATAACAAGTAATAATAGTAATGAAACACAGCGAAATGTGTGATTTGAAATGAGAAATTGCAAACGATCGCACGATTTTCATTTGTTGTTATTGTTTTTAATAATAATTTTTCTACTTCTTCTCTCCTCCTTTATATTTTTTTTTTTTTTGCTCTTCGCCTGTTGTGGCTCGTACGTAATTCATAGTTATTATGATTTGTTGTACATAACAAGTGTTTATGTCCTGTTTGGCCACAGCATTCAATGCTGTGTGTGTGTGTGTGTTGCATACAGTGTGACGGAAATGAAATTGATCTTCTCCGTTTACTATTTGCGATTTGTGTGAGCGATGCTTGTGCTAACACTGCTGCTGCTGCTGTTGCATTTTGCAGACAGCCGAGAGTCGTGTATGGGTTTTTCGTCGAGCGCTCTCCGATCGGCTTTCAAACAGTACAAACGCAATGTTTATTTCTTACTAATTAGCAAAAAAAAAGACTGTTGTAGTAAATAAATCTAAACAACAGTCATTCGATGCAGGCCAATAATAATGATATTACAATCACAGAGTGCATTCGCGCCGTCGTTAGGATTCCACTTTCAAAGTGCACATGAAATGAAATTGTTGACACGACATAACAATTTAACGCTTGATTTCAACGTTGTGTGTGTGCAGTGTGCACGCGTTGCTTTTTTTTCGACCCGTTAAAAACCACACAGCCAGTTAAGTTCGATTGGTGTTCTTGCACAGTGTGTCGATTGCGAAAAAATAAAAACGCATTTCAAATCAACGCATGAATGAAGAGCGAAATAAGAAAGAAACGAACAAATCATGTCATTCATTTTCAATTTTGATCGGGGTGAATATTTATATTTTATGCAGCCGTATCGAATGGCACATACACATCGTGCGACACATTCGTGCTCAACAATTCAATCGTTCATTTTCCGCTAACGATCTCTGTCAACTCGGTTTTTTTTCTTTCTTTCATTTGTATAAAAATCTGCTCAGCACGGCCCACAAACCAGTGCAAAAAGCATATCGCGTGCAATAAAAGAATGTTAATTCCACAATTATGCTATGGATATATTGTTTCGATACATCACGAACATTCAGCATAAAGGGTGAGTGATGTCTATATTACAGATTGACACAAATTGTTTCAATTTGAATTCATTGTATGAATCACTCGACTCTGGGCACGTGGTTGATTTTAATTCATTGCTACGACTCAGTTAGACTGGAAACCATTTGGCATCGGTTCAATTCTGCATCCGAAAGTTGTGTGTGTGTGGATAAAAAAAACCAGCAAAAATATTTCTTTAAAAAAAAAGAGTTGAACTTCGATTCGGTTGCGGGTGTGCATTTTCTGCCTGCAAACAATCGATGCACATTATTCTAAACAAAAATAAAACGAAGGGTTCTTTGAGTAATTGCCCATAATAACATAAATGGTTATAGCGTGGAAACCTTTCGTATATTAGATAAATTGTTGCTAATATCAGTAGCCAGAGCATTGGCATTTTGATCCGTTTCCAGTGGGCATAAAAACCGCTAGCACCTAGATTAAGATGTAGATGCATTGTATGATCTTATGACGTGATGACTTTGAAACATGACTAATTTCTCTTTTCTTCCTTTTTCTCGCTCTCTCTCTTTCTCTTCTTTTTCGTTGATTGAATAGATTCACTTGCGAAAGCGCCATATCGAGACGCAAGTGTACGTTGGTGCATTTCAGTACTTGAGATATAAGCAATTGCATCACGACACCATTCGAAACGTGAACATTAACAAAACGAAAACATTGGAGTACCTGTTGATACTCGCAAAGAATTTGCTGTGTGAAATTGAGACGGCCATCAACAATACTGGGATGAAGATGCCAGTTATCCTGTCAAGGGCAATGATGGACAACCGACTGACATTCCGGAATAATGGCCGGCGCATACGCAAACCGACATCTGATTATGTGGACGAGGTCGATGAAATCGACAGTAAATTCGCAAAGGTCCGTTTCAGCGAATACCTACAAGGTTTGGAACAAGTGCTGAAAAATCGAATGGGAAAACAACATCACCACATTAAGAAGAAGCCACGGCCAACCAGAAAGCTGAAGAAAAATTTGAAACAGAACGCTGTTGTTGGTGCTGTACGGACAAAAGTGAACAAACCAAGCATTGACAATGTGCATCATCTGCACGAAAATCATATTGACGGCAGTGTTGCATCGATGAAGAGACATCGGAGCCAGAAACACCGAAATCTGTTCGGTCCACAGCAGGCACGAAGTCAGAAGCAGTTGCGAAAGGGGATTGCTTCATTGCGACCCAACGAAATCAACATGTTTCGAAATCATCGGAAAAATGTGTCAGCCGTAAAATCGGCAGCAGCAGCAGAACCAATGGTTGCGTCAAAGACTTCAACGACAACAACAGTCGCACCACAAATCTAATGTACACTCAATCAAACTCGCCAATATCGTCACCCATCACCATTCCTTCGAAAGTATTATAGTAACTCAATCATTCTTTAATTTTGATATCATCGAATATGCATACGGGTTTGATCGATATGCAGACTATTTAATTTATTTTTTTTTTAGCGATAGGTCGTGATACGTTCATGTTGTGTCGACATTTAATTTATATGAAGAAGAAGAAGAAGAAGAAAAAGAAAGAAAGAATGAAACCTATTAGGAGAAAAAATGTGCCCAACGAACAGAAAAAAAAAAATGTTTGCTCTCGTAGTTGTTCCCCTAAGGACATTTTTGATAATATGTAATTAGTAAATTTCAATTGCTTTTTACTTAGATCTATCTTGACGCTGTGATATAAAGCTCTAAGTATTTATGTATGTATTTAGTTTAGATTTACGCTTGGAAATCGCGACATGGAAATAACAAAAGAAAAACGCCAAATATTTGCCTTTAACTCAATCGATCGTTTAAAAACGCCATTTTAGAAGGAAAAACAACATGAATTTATATAAATAATTTGCAAACAAATGTCCGTTCAGATTTTCGGCAATTTTTCAGTTCATTGAAAAATTTGTGCGCGACAAATTCGAACGGACGTACCAACCACTTGCACTGTTTCCACTGCATTGCTCTCTATGGTCGTTTCTTTTGTTTAAACAAAATGCGATTCAGAAGATGAAATTTTTTGTATAAAAAAAAAAAATTGAGGAAGAAGAAAGAAATGTAAATAGTTTGTAAGTGAATTGGTTCCTACAAGTAAATTTGCCTTAAAAACAGATACTTAACATTCGTCCAAGTATTAGACACTAAGAATTTATTTCTTCTTCTTTTTTGCTTTTGCGCGATTCAATGAAATTTACTTGATACACACTTTTTTCTCTGTCATAGTCATCTGCAACTTGCCAATTTTTCAACAATCACATCTTATTTATTTTCGCCCATTTTAACTCATTGCGACAAAAAATTGAAACAAATTGGATCATCAAAATTTGATTTAACTAAAACAATGTCTGTTGTGATGACTTTGTGTGATCAATTTTAGTTGAGCAGCCATTCCAATTTTTTTCTTTCTTTTCAATCATAACCGTTTCACCATTTAAGTTTTAAGTAATACAGAGTTGAGAAGAGCTAGAAAATCAACGATTCAGCGAAAACAAACTAGCATAAGTAATGAAAATGAACACAAAAACTTAAACTTGTTTAAAACAAATTACGATTAAGAAAGAAGGGAAAATAAAAAGAAACCAATTTTACAGAGAAATATTCGATTGCATTTTGACTTTTTTTTTTCATCGTTTGCTGAACATTTTCTTCCCAGGATGTTTTAAATGAGATCAATTTATTTTGATGACATCGAAGCGTCTCTCAGATATATGAGCAGCGTGCAACTTTTTACCGATTCAGTTCATTTCCCACGATGGCAGAAGTGCAAAGACGGCGCATGGTTTGTCTAATTCATCTTAGAAATGAAAACTTTTTGCAATTTCAACAGAAATCAAATGCTTGGAATTTTTTTTTTCTTCAAATGAATTGAATTTCTTTTCTCTCTCAATTATTCGAGAGCTATTTGATACGTTTGTGTTTGAACGATAACTTTCTTGAATATTCTTGACACTTCGTGTACACGAATTTCACAATAAATCGAAATATTTTCATGGTCAATTCAATAACGGCGACCGTTCAAATTAATTCGGCAACTAAGCCGAACCAAGCAAATCAAAGTTCATGTCTTATCAAATGAACAAACCATAAAGGCTCTCCATCACCGAAATGACACATAGAGATCGCCAATGTTCACTTTGTTCCACAGCCAATTGGAATTGCTGAACCACAAAAATGTTCGCCGTTCTCCACTTCAACCTCCACGCAACAAACCACATCGTTTGTCATTTGAAACTTTTGCGATCGTGGCCAAGATCACATAAGCATAGCGCCATTTAACGAAAGCTCACTGTAATACTCACTCGAAAAGATCAAATGGCACTAACCGTTTGATTGAGCCATAAAAGATCGTATATCAATGGAATTGCTATAGGTCACGTTCCTGAGGTATTTGTGATAATAGCTTTATGTTGAAATCGAGTGAATTTATTGTTTGGGTCAATTAATTGACTATTACGTTTGAACGGTCGATCTATTAGCAAATCCATGTAAATGTGCATGCATTTGATTTATAACTCCAGAGAATAGCCACAAATCGGTTATGAACGGAGAGCAAGAGAAAAGGTTTGATCGCTTGCGGCTGAATCAATTTTTCACCGTTTCTTTGAGTGAGACAGAGAGAAAGAAAATGAATTATTAATACTAGTTATGGGTTATGTAAGAATGCATCAAGTATGTGGCATGCATCTTACATTTCAGACAATATGAATAATGAATTAAAGAATTTCACAGAAAAAAAAAGTTGCAGTTCATTAGATTATTGGATGCAAACATTTGAGAAGAAGTCGTTGCTTTTTACTGCTTTCATACATTTTGATTCAATCGATCAATTAGATGCGAAATGAAATTTATTATCTTCAATTGCTAGTTAAATATTCATTTATTGAAGCGTATGAAAATCATTTGAATATCGACAGTTGCCGTTGGCGTTTAATCGCATTGCATATTATGGCTAGTTTTCAAGTGACATTGTTGCAATTTGCATTGATATGACTTTTTCTGACTGACTGCCTGGCTGACTCTATCACATCTCGTTCATTGTCTTCTATATTTATCTATTGTCTGTGTGGACTTTTCATTCCACATTGCATACATTTTATATTTATCGACTCATTTATGAAGACAAAACCCACACGACGATCAATAGAAAGAAATAGCTTAAATATTTTGATATGATTTGTCGATTGAATAACATGCTTAATGGTCTAACATGACGACGTCTTAAAAGCGAAAGCTTTCTACGAATGATAAGCAATGGAAAACAAATTAATATTCTGCATGAATATGTATGAATTGTTCGTGCAAAATTTCGTGTCAACGACACTTTTTTTTCGCTCTATTGAGATAGAGCGCCGTGACTTATGCAACCGAAAATATGAAACAGATGTTTTTATTGATTATTTTATTAGCAATCATATCGCATTAAATTAAATAATATTTGCAATTTATGGAATTTACAACAACATCAACATAAAACAAGGCAAATGGGTTTTTCAGCTAATTCCTTAGGCACATGATGATTTGCGATCGTCTTCTTTTGGTTATTTAATCGACGGTGTGTCCCAATTTTTCTCGCAAGTTTTATATAAAATCTCACTAATTCCAAGAAATTCGCCAAATTGATTACTGTGTTAGGCTGTGTTTTTTCTGAATTAGTTTTTTTTTTGCTCACACTCAATTAGTTATGTCAAAACAAAAATGATGCTCAAATAAAGATTTATTCTTCGTGATGTTTTTATTTCACAGTCGATCAACGATTCAATCAACATCATTTAAGGCCCCATTAAATTAATTAATGGCTGATTTTGTGAGTTTCATCAATATATTAGTAAAATTAGTGGTTGGAAATCTGATAACGATTACTTAATTGCCACATGTAAAAATGTGTAGTGAATTTCTCTCAATGGTGTTGTCGGCGCATCTTCAAACGGAAAATTCCGATCAAACGGTATCGATTGTATTTGATTACAAAAAATTTGACAAAAACACAATTTTTTCAATAGATTATGTACATAATTGAGGCGATGTCGACGTCAAACATGATTCGGCAAAACATTCATCAAAGTCAAATACAAAAAAATGAACATGCATCCAAATATAGATGCGAATCGAAAATGAATACAAACCTTTATTCATCCGCTGAATTTGGTAAATGGATGTCATTTTGTGCTTGAATGGATTGTTGATTTGCGACTGTAATACGCTTGCGTTTCCTTTCAATTGAAATATGAAAAGAAAAAAAAATTATGTCAAAATATGCATAAATTTTCAAACACTGTTCATTGGAAATCGCAATTGCTGAATCTCCCTTTCCGCTGAGATATGGCATTCGAAACAATTGCATAGGATCTGACAGGCCATCATGCAAGTAGCACACAGAAAGTTCAAAACGTTCGTTATATTCCCAATGAGAAGATATTCCGAAGCATAAATTCAGTTCGAATGTCATTTGTTTAGGTTTTTTTTTTTCAGTAAATTAGCGTCAGTTGGCTGTGAATGAAAACCATTTACTGTTGCTGAGTATGTGTCTTTTTTTCCAATATGATTTTCACAATTTACTGTCATATAAATTTATGATTTTTGTTTTGTTTTGTTTCAATCTATGGAGCATGTCATTGTGAGCCGTTTCTGCAGAATCAATGCACTGCACTACGGTTGATCAAATGCTGGCATTTATGGAGCATATTAAATTATTTCGTTTACTTGAAACATTCAACTGTCATCGATGTTGACGATGGCAACGATCAAAAGGTAAATGTGAATTCACTTGTGCCGAACTCAAAACATGGCAAGACACAAAATGTTGCCTTCTCGATCGACCGTTCATCCGATGCAACTTCTTTTCCACATCCATACACATTGCGACTGTGTGATGGAAACGGATCGATTTGGAAAAAAAAAATGTAATTTACTAACTTTACCACAATTTAATTGCATATTAAACATCAATCAAGCGATTTATTGCCACAATATCAAATTGTAATAATCTGGCTAAATCCAATGCGAGCATGCAATTGGACAGCATATTATATGTTTATTTAAACAATAACAGTGTGGCTTACATCTTTGTTGGATTGTCAATAAAATGACTTGGGCTCAATCGATACATCGTTTTTAGCACATAAATAACCACATAAATGTGAAAGGTAATCTTTGGCCTGTTCTATTTGCTATTATCATCGAGAAAGTTACAAACGTTTCTACTTGAATTTATTTTATAACCTCTAGTGTTTGACTAGTTATGATTTTCGAAGGTTTCTCCTCTAGTTTCTCCTTCTTGTATTTAGAATCTGCACTTCAGATGAAAGTGAACAATTATTTCCTGTTAAATTTATGATCAAAGCCTGAAAATGATTGATAAAAAGAAAGAAGCGATAAAACTAACACACAAAATAAAAATTCAAGAAATCAGAAGAAAATCCGTTGAAAACGACTAGAACCGTAATTTCGATTCAGTTGCAAAAAAGCATTATTTATTTAATAAATTGGATATTCATCTAAATCGTAGCTTTTCAGTTTAAAAAAAAACTTGGTATATTTGTTCAAAATATTTTCATTGCAACGCATATCTTTTAATCAAAGCGTTAACATAAATAATAATCCATATCCGTTGGACGTTTTGTCTAAACACAAGAAAAACTCGTGACTGAGTGCTTGTATTGATTAGCGATGCCAATGATCGACGTTCTCACCATTTGTTTGTTGGATAAAGCGGTGTGAAGATGGTTTCCCGTCGTGGAAATTCCTTTCGAATGTGCATTTTGAATGGAGTAACTAGTAGCTGGTAACCTTGTAATATTGCTTCTTATTTTTTTTTCTCTCAATAATCTGTCGTCTTTATAAGTTTGAGCTGTCACTAATATTTCAAATTGAACATGCGCACATAAGTTCATTTCAAACATACACTGCATTTATTTTTATTTGTGATAAAAATCATTTTCGACCATTGAATGCATTTTCATCGGCAAAAACATCTGACCGTGCACGGATATGTATGTATGTATTTGTGTTGATGTTGCAAAAACTTCATTTGAATTTACCGTCTGCTGCTACAACACCGAATCGCTTCAAATATGAAATCATCGAAACAAAAAGTCGACAAAACGATTCAAACGCTTTGTAACAAGCTATAAATTTTGCTACTCAATCCACACAGCACAGTCCGTTAGCAAAGCAAAGCATTTGCCTCATTTAAATTCTCGTGCATAAAACACGCGAATCGGTTTTTCTTCCGTTTTTGCAGTTGGTGTAATATGAAAAAAACCAAACACGTCTATTTGGATTGGCAATCAAGTGCCATGCGATGCATAGAGAACATAAAATAAATTAAGTGCCAAGCCAATAAGCTTTATGCTAAATTTAATTAAATCATGATTGAATGATGGAAGATGCCCATCGTTCCAACAACCTGAATAAATCGCACTGTTGTTGCGGCAAATCGTGTGCGAAATTCCACAGTCCAATGATTTCATTCAGTTCACTTCTTTCAGATGCAACTCTCGTTGGTTGTGAACCCGTTCCGATTTTTGTATTTGCATACCCAAGTAACAAACTCCAAGCGTAAAAATTACGGTTACATTATTGCCGGATTTTGAGTTCAA